ACGACATCCAATTACGCACTTTTGCGGCCAACACGAATAAAATTTGCAAGTTGTTAACTATCGTAATATAAATAAAAATCTATACGCCAGAACACCGTGTTGGCGGAGCACGCGAGCGCGCATACGTAACCTCTGCGTCCTGTCGACGAATAAAAAAAAAGTGGAAACATAGAAGGCGCCGTGATCCGTCGCAAGCTGTATCGTTTAACGCTCAGATAAAATTATCTGTACCGTGAATAATAATAATAATAATATTATTAATAATAATAGTAATAATAATAACCGTTTCCGTTCGCATCTTGTCTGGCTATCTCACGTTTCATCCCTTAAATGTGTCGCTGTGGTTTTAAAGCCTAACGAACCTTACTGCGTTAACTAATTACCCGATGTTACAGTTAAAGTTAAAAATAATATAATTAATATTATCTGATGATGTCAATAGTAATAGTATAATAATAATAATAATAATAATAATAATAATAATAATAATAATAATAATAATAATAATAATAATAATAATAGAACTCTTACAATAGTGGTATAAAACTAAAACGTAAGTAAGGTAGTCACAATGCATGGAAAGTGAAGAAAAAAAAAGAAGAGTAACACGACCGTCTTCGATTGCTTTTGCACAATTGTCATACAATTAGGAAATCACTTTATCGTTTCTTTGCATTTCTCGGAGGGGCTCTTAGCGATGAGCCCCGCGCGTACACGCAAACTCTGTCTTTTTTTTTCTCGTTTAAATAAAATTTTTTTTTCTTCTTTTCGCCAACGAAATCGAACGAGACTGAGTTCGCAAACATACCGAAGTATAGATTACGCGTTACAGATCACCAAACAGTAAGATTGTGGATCCAATTATGTAACAAATATATTTTTTCCTTCGAGCACGCGTTTGGACGCTCTTTAACTCACAAAAGTAATTGATACCGCCCTATATAACATCCGCTGTATGCATTCCCGTTAACATATAATATCAGAGTTTCGCTCTTTTTATGTTTCAACGATCGACTGGACGTAGAAAGAGGAAAGGACTTCGCGGAAGAAAAGAATACAATTCGCCGGGCGTGGCCAAAACGGAAGTGAAAGTGCGTCGGTCCTTTTTTTCGCTGTTCACACGTTCCTCCGCGATATGCGAGTTTTTTCCATTTTTTTTTGTTCGAAGAAGAACAGTTCGGACAGGAAAAAAAGTTTACACACAAGTGCACGTTCCATCTCACGTAATATATCTCTTTTTTTCAATATATATATATAAAAATATATATATACATATATATATATATATATGTGTATGTGTGTGTATATATATATAGACACACACACATATATGTGTGTATTTTAAATAGCTCTTTGACAACCATCATTCTGCCATGCACACGCCTTTCATTCTCACTTGCGCTTGTAGACACCGTTGCGGAAGACCAAAATACTCCATATATTTTTCCGTTCGGCATTCGTTCGAAAGCACTCGCGACGGATATTCATCGAATAGAGAAGGAAAAAAAAATATATATATATGTACATATATATAGATATACATACAGATATAGATACAAAAAGGGAATCAGGAAAATAGAGGTAAGAGGAGAAAAGTGTTTCCCTGTTGTGTTCAGATTGAACGTGTAAGTGAACATTATTTTAAGTCTAATAAATTCGTGGTGCGCTAGGGAGTTGTGAAGAAATCCGGGTAATATCGGAGGTCGCAGAAATTACTCAGTGTAAAGAGAACCAGACTACGTGTATCACCATTCTTTCTTTCTTTCTTTCTTTCTTTCTTTCTTTGCAAGTACTTGACGGTGCGCTCGTTAACTGCTAGTTATTGTACAAATCGCATGCGTTTTGTTCGTGATGACGACGATACAAAATAATATTCTGTCCGCGGAGGAATATATAGTAAACGAAGAGGAACGGGCGAAACGTTCACTTGTTGTCGTGGGTTCCTGGTGTGGCGTATCGTATATTGTTGTCTCTCGGCAGAACGAGTCGTGATTTCTATTTTCCGTAATTCACCCGAAAAAAAATATGTCGACAATGTCTACTATGCGGTGTGTCCCAACCACCGGAGGAAAAAAATAAAAGAAAAACGTTGTAACAGTGTTATCAAATATAACAGATTTTCATCGGATAGAGTGTGTATACGTGTGTATCTGTATGCGTGTAGGTCTGTGTAGGTGTGTTTCCTTTTTGTTTCTTTTCAACCGAACGAATGAACGAAAAAAAGTATAATATAATAATATAATATAATATAATAATAATAAATCAAAGAGAAAAAACAAACGGTCCAGACCCCGAACTAACTAGGGTCTATTATATATACTATGTTTGTATACATATATAACTTTCTCTATAACGTGTCCGTGCTTGCCTGTGCATTTAACTTATATACCTAGCAATAATAATAATAATAATAATAATAATAATAATAATAATAATAATAATGATAACCAATTTCATCGGTGCTGTCCATAGCTAAAAGTTAATAATTCTTATCAAACAATATAATATTAATAGCAATATAATCATAACGGTGATAATAAAAATAATATTGTTTGCTGCATTAATAGTAGTGCGAGTAATGGTAAATCGATAATGATAATAGTAATAATTAATCAATTGGTAATAACTATAATACACTTTCCCAGAGAAACCTGTACATATACCAAGGCTGCTTGCAGTATAATTCATGTTTTCTCTCTCGCGCGTGCTCTCTCTCTCGCCCTCTCTTCCTCTCCGTCTTTCTTTCTTTCTTCCTCTTTCTTTCATTCGT